ATATTCTTTGAGCTATATTCATCCTTTGCTTCATCTTCCTCATCAAAATATTATTTTTGAGAGTTAGAAATATTTTCTTTGAGTGCTAAAGAAGTTGTCATCCATAGAGCTTTAATTCTTCAACACTACTTTGCTCAATTGTGTGAGCTTTCATTCTTGTGTTGTAAACTCAATCTCATTTGAGTGTTGTTCTTAAGACTTGTGTGACTCAAGTCTTGTTGTTGTAAGAAAGTGAGGCTTGTGTGATTCAAGTTCTCAAGTTGTACCGGTTTTTCAAGCACCCGTTGAAGCTTGAAGATTAGTAGGACTTTCGAGGGAGTCTCTCGGAGGACTGGACTAGCCACGAGGTGGTGAACCAGTATAAATCTCGGTGTTCTTCTTTCCCTTACTCTCTTTATTTATTCCTGCGATTTTATTATTTCACACACGCGAAAAACGCACATTCTTGAAAACAACTCTATTCACCCCCCCTCTAGAGTTGCACATTTGTCTAACAATTGGTATCGGAGCGGGAAGTTCTTCGAATACGTTATTTTTTCAGGAACTAAAAGATCAAATGGCATCAAGGATGTTCAACGTAGGAGTGACCGAGGGACAATCAACCACGAGGCCACCTTTGTTCGATGGAACAAACTACTCATATTGGAAGGAGAGGATGAGAATCTTTATCCAATCCAACGACTACAAGCTGTGGTTGATTGTAAAGAACGGCTGCGGAGTCCCGATGAAGAAAGTCGGTGAAGTCAACGTTCCCAAAACTGAAGAGGAGTTCACCGACGAAGACTGCAAAAAGATGGAGCTCAACGCAAAGGCAATAAACATAATTTATTGCGGTGTTAACGCGGATGACTACCGCAAAATCTCGCGGTGTGAAACCGCAGGTTCGGGAGGCCAAAATCGACCATCTCACTCACGAGTATGAACTCTTTTCAATGAAGGAAAATGAGAAGATTGAGGAAATGATTGAGAGATTCTCTAACATCATCAATCCTCTCAATCTTCTCGGGAAGACATACACCGACCGAGAGCTCGTGAGAAAGGTGCTGCGAAGCCTATCCCCCAAATGGCGTTCAAAGGTGGACGCAATCGAAGAAGGTCGTGACTTCCAAACAACGACCTATGATGCTCTTCGAGGTAATCTTATTACCTACGAAACCACCCAACTCTCAAAGGTGGTTGAAGAGAGGAACAAGAGGTCTATTGCTCTACCCGCAACAACATCAACCCACAACAACGTTGATGATGACAGCGACGACACCGACCTCGGACTCTTTGTCCGGAAATTCAAGAAGATGATGCTCAAGAAGGGAGCCAAGAAGAACACTCCACCCAAATGCTATGGGTGTGGTGAAATTGGACACATCAAACCAATGTGTCCAAAGCTCAAGAACGAGAAGGACAAGAGGGCACCGAAGAAGCAACGTGCCTACATTTCTTGGGAGAACGAC